TCCCCCCATCCATCCATCCATCTGCCTCTTTTCTATCTCCCCCCCCTCTTCGCTCGGGGCACACAAGCGACGCCTCCGACTCCCCCCCACCCCATCATCCATCACCCACCCACGCGCCCCGCCAGCAGTGCCCTCCTTCCCCATCCCCATCCATCATCCCCTTTCCCCATCATCCCCTACCCCATCCTCCTGCCAGGCCAGCCACCGACCGCCTGGGTCTTCCCCCAAAAAGAGATTCCCAGCCTTTCCTCGGAGCGCTGTCCCCCCCCCCATCACCATTGTACCTCGCTTTGCAGCTGGGAGGCAGCAGGAAGATTCATGGACCCAGAAGGAGGTGATGACACGGGGGGAGGGGGGAGAAGCTCCTTTTACCCCTTCTGCCCAGCGCTGAATGGTGCAAGGATGCTGCTTTTGGGGGGGGTGTCTCCAAAGGGTGAGAGAACTCAGTCTCCCCTCCCTCCATTCCACGCAGGCTATTTGGGCCTGAATCTAGAATACAGAATGACCGAGATGGAAGGGACCTTGGAGGTCTTCTAGTCCAACCCCCTGCTCAAGCAGGAGACCTTCTACCATGTCAGACAAATGGCTGTCTAGTCTCTTCTTTAAAAACCTCCAGTGATGGAGCCCCCACAACTTCTGGAGGCAAGCCGTTCCACGGGTTAATAGTTCTCACTGTCAGGAAGTTTCTCTTTAGTTCCAGGTTGCTTCTCTCCTTGATTAGTTTCCACCCGTTGCTTCTTGTCCTGCCTTCAGGCGCTTTGGAGAATAGCTTGACTCCCTCTTCTTTGGGGCAGCCCCTGAGATATTGGAAGTCTGCTATCATGTCCCCCCTCGTCCTTCTTTTCACAACACTAGACATTCCCCAGTTCCTGCAACCGTCCATCCTACACTTCAGCACCCTGACACACCCCTGGATTTCGTCTCCCCCCCCCCCCGTCCTTTCTTGCTTTGATGGCCAGGCCATTTTTCCATCCAAGAGAGCCAAAACTGGGCTTGTAACTCAGCCACAGAAAGGCTGGAGGTTTCAAAGAAAACCGAGAATGCTGAACCAAGAAGAGAAATTGTTTCTCTCTTCTGTGCTTGCTCCTGTTCCTTGTGCAGGACCCTGGTTGGAGCTGGTCCTGGTATAGAGGACATCACTGCCATCCTGCCTCAAACTACAGACCTGGAAAGGAGAGGGGAGGGGAGGGAAAAAGGAGAGGAGAGGACAGGGGAGGGGAGAACAGGGGAGGGGAGGGGAAAAGGAAAGGAGAGGAAGAGAGGGGAGGGGAGAGAAGGGGAGGGAAGGGAAGGAGAGAGGAGAGGAGAAGGAAAAGGGAAAGGGAAAGGAAAGGAAAGGAAAGGAAAGGGAAGGGAAGGGAAGGGAAGGAAAGGGAAAGGAAAGGAGGTGAAGGGAAGGGAAAGGAAAGGAAAGGAAAGGAAAGGAAAGGGAAAGGGAGGGGAAGGGAAAGGAAAGGAAAGGAAAGGAAAGGAGGTGAAGGGAAGGGAAAGGAAAGGGAAAGGAAAGGGAAGGGAAAGGAAAGGGAAAGGGAAGGGAAGGAAAGGAAAGGAGATGAAGGGAAGGGAAAGGAAAGGAAGAAAAATCAAGCCAAGGTTTCCCCTCTCCTCCATCCAGGTGCCCTCACCCCCAACCACCTGTGTCCCCCAAGAGGCCATTTTCAAGAAAATAAAATTCATCCCCATGGCCTCCAAATCAGACTCTTTTTATTTATTTTATTTATTAAACCAGTTTATATCGCCGCCCAACTCCCAGATGAGTGACACCGGATGGCTTAGACCCAGAGCTGTGTGTCTGTCTTTGTCCGTGTCTCCCTGCGTGTGTCTTCAGCAGTTCTTTTATTTCACCTGAACCACGGTGTCCACCACCCCATCCCACCCTTCCCGCTGGCCCTCCTTTCTTCCCTACAGATGGATCTCATCCATCTTTTTTTGGCAAGGCCTTGCAAGACCAAAGGGCCCAGTCACTCAATCATCCCTCCCTAATGGCTCTCCAAGGGTCCCCCAGTGTTTATTGACCTACGACTAAGGACAGTCGGTGGAGTCAGGAGAGATCACCGGGAGGGGGTGAGAATTAGGAAGGTGTTGGCCAAGAAAGGGACAGGCGGGAATAAATCGAAAGTTGGAGCAGGAGGAGAAAGTAATAAATGGCCTGTGACGCAGATAAATTATCCATCTGGAAGGCAGGAAGGCGGTCGTAAATTTAGCTGCCAAATTAAATTGACAGCGGGGCTCCCCACGACTGACAATCGGGGAAATGTAATCTGACGGATGCAACCGAAGAAGCATTTGGGCACTTCTGCCCTGCTGCCCATTGTGCACGAGGCACTCATTAAAACGACACTGTTGTCGTTGCGTTTGGCACCCGGAGCAGCAGCAGCCAGAAATGGGCCTTGTAAAAAAATGCTAACAAAAGCCACTTCTTCTGGGGGGGGGGGCGGTGTTTCCTCCTCTTTCCAATGTCTTGGAATATCCGTACATGTCCTCAATTGCAAAACTAACACAAGTGTCTGTTTTGACCACAAATGGTCAAAACGTTTAAGGTGACAGCTCTGCAGCTCTGGAGGGATAGCAATGGTAACTGGATGCATTCACAGATGATGATCTCCCTGGGATGAAGCTAAGATGCTGACTTTAGATTTAGTTGAATTAATTCGACTGCGGACAGGAGGAATTCTGGGAGTTGAAGTCCACCCATCTTCCTGAGATTCAGAAACACTGCATTAGAAGAAGCTGGAAGAGCAGACAAGCCTGACTCCATTCTAAGATACCTCTTTTTTTTTCTTAAATCCAAAACAGCAATGTTTTAATCAAAACATTCATCAAGTTTATCGCTTCAATAGCTGGCCTCGCAGCTCAAGAATTTCTTAAAAGATTTTTTTTAACCTGCTGCTTAGATAATACGATGCAAATAATCATTAAAGCTGGATGTCTATGGAGATTCTCAGTCATCCAGGTCATGATAGTCCCAGAGGTGCTTTTGCAAATTCTTGCAAAAGGCGAGTGGATGTTCTTGTTTTTTTCCTTTGAAGTTCTGAAAAAACTTCTTGGATGAGACGTGAAATGTTTTCAAGGGGAAAAAAACAAAGTCCAGTTGCCCTTTGGGAAAAAACACCTTTGGGACAATAAAGCTGAACTGAATTGTTTGCAAATGAGCCTTTTTTCCACATCTCCAACAGATTTTTAAAAAGCCACTTTTGGTTGACTGCTGGCCATTCTCATCTTCCATAAAACAGCAGCTCCATATGCCAAATGAGCTTCTTTGTCTCAGCTCCCTAAATGAGATTTGTCCATGAAAAGGTTAGCCCATCTTCCTGTCCTAATGAGAAACCTCATCAGCCAATTATCTCAATTATTGCACATTAGGGAAGATCTTGACTTCTCCCCTAGGGACAAAGGAATGCTTCTTTAAAACCTCCAACTAACTCAAGATGGGTTAAAAGCCTATCAAAATTATATTTGCATCAATCTCAGGGTTCAATATGTAATTGGACAGTTCAATTCTGCGAGACAAAATTTAGCTGCCCTTCAAGGGGCTCCAGATTTATTTTTTTAATTGGGTGAATAATCTAACAACAGTCAAAATAATAGGCTGATAAGGCTGCATTGATGCATTGAAAGAGATATTGCGTGATAAAAAGGTGATTTTTGCCACGTAAATCAGAACCGAGGCTCAATAAGAAACTCAACCGGAGCATCGCAACGGTTAAAGGAAAGATCTGATGGCTATCACAATCTCTTGATCCAAGATTTGTGCTATCAGCTCCAATCCCAAATTGTCAACCTGCTAAAGAATAAATGAGAAATAACCTTTCTTCTCATGGTGTTTCAGAAATGTATGTTTGGTTCTGCCACAGCTTTGCCCACCATCTAACCTCAGAGAAAGCGGGCTATTTAATTCAGATCCACAGAGGATGCTGAGGCTGGCAAATTAAACTCAAAGGATGAATAGACCAAAGATTTGTGAATCGAGGAAGCTTTGTACGCTAATGGGGGGCGACAGGAGGGGGGGGGAGAAGATACTTCATTTTATTCAAACATTAATAGGTTGCTCTTCTGTTTCTTTTGTCAGTGAGATTTGCTGAAGAATGGAACTCCAAGCCTTTATGATGTTGTTTTTTAAAATTTCCCTTTTCTCCAGCTGGTCCCAACCAGGTTTATGAGGCATATCAAAGGCAGTTTGGAAAGGACATGGCTGTTCTAGGATGCGCCCACGGGCTCCTCCGAGTCTCTTCTATTTCCCCCCCGGGAAAAATCTGCCAGGCCGACTCAGGCCGAGCAGAATGGAAACTGAAGACATCTGGCTGAGAGAGGCTGCAGATGTGAGGCGGGAGGGATCCAGATGTACAAATACCAGTTAGGGTTTTTCCTGAAGAAAAGAGGGGCTGGGCTCGCTCCGGGGGGGGGGGGGCAGCAGAAGCCCCCGAAAAGCCAAGAAAGCTACTATTACAGGGAGTTCTCTTCTTATGACGGTAGTGGAGCCCATCCTTGCTCTCCTTCTCCCCCGGCCGCGAGGAAGGAAGGGAGTCCTAAGAGTGGGGTGCAAAGGTGGGGGGAGCGGGTCTTTGGGGGGGGTTCCTCTCTTTTGGGCGGGGCTCCGAGACATTGCAAGTTGCCCCTTCCAGATGGGGGCGCTTGGCTGGGGTTCCAGCCGGGAAAATCCCAAAAACAACCGACTTCGGATGAGTCAAGATGCAGGAAAGCAAAAGGGGTGTGCAAGCAGGGGACCCACGCGTGTGCATGCACGCTCCTGCACACACCTGCATTGGGACCGCAATGCAATTCCCGGGTTGCAAAACCTGCAGAGTCGCTCGGGCGCCCCACTGGCAAGGGAGGGGTGCTGAGAAATGCTTCCTGGATCCCCCCCCCTCCCCTGCTCAGCCGGCGCTCCGAGGAATCCGCCGAACGCCCCGCGATCCAGGGGCCAAAGTGAGCCGGACCTGCGCTTCCCTGCCGCGCCGCCGAGGGGCAGCAGAGCGCGCTTCGCGAGCTGCCGCCGCCGCGCGCCGTTCTGGCAGCCGTCTCGGTGGCGAGGTGTGTCGTCATCAGCGAGCGCCCCAAGCGCTGGGCGGCGACGGGCAGCCCCGGTGGGTGAGTTGCTAGGGCCGCCGACCGAGGGGAGAAGAAGGGGAGGGGGGCGTCAGTCTCCATAGCAACCCCCTCTTGCCCCCCCCACATCTGGGCCCTTCCGCCTCGCCCCCTCCCGCTCCATATCTGGCCTTGTTGCCTTTTAATCATGGCTGCTGTATATAATGTATGTGCTTATTTGTGGTTTTTACTTGTGTGTAGTGTGTAGCACTTAATTTCGTTGTGTGAGTTACACAATGACAATAAAGATTATTTTATTCTATTCTATATTCTATTCCTTTCCATTTCTATTTCTATTCCATTCCCATTCCATTCCATTCTATTCTGTCTCTCATTTTATCTTTTTCAATGGTGACTTTGAATGGAACGGATAGTTGATGGCATATTTAATGGAATGTATTTTTTCTCTCCTCAGCAGTTTCTTCTCCTTCCAGAGCTTTGATGCACACAATCGATTTGTGAGAAGAAAAAAAATAATAAAAAATGACAACTCAGGTAAGTCGACATCATCGCCCGGCTTTGCAAGTTGACATTTGTCCCTTTTTTTTTTTTTATAAAAGGAGGACTGAACGGTTGATTTGTTTGTGTTTTTTTCCTCTCCCTTTCAGTATAGTATTCTCTTCAAGCAAGAACAAGGTAAGGAAATTCTGTGTTTGGTTTGTGTGCTTTTGAAGGAGTTGCCTTGTGGTAAGATGGGCGGCTGATAAGTTTAATAAAAATAAAATAAAATGAAAAATATGGTGACGTGTTCAGGACTCCACAGGTCATGGATGAAACAAGGATATCTCTTGCTTTTAAAAAAGTATATATTCCTTTTATTTATTAAGAACTGCCCAGCTTGCTTACTGTGAGTCTGGGCAGCTTACAGCAATCAAACCACAATAAAACCTCAATAGCCCTCCACCTCCCTGGCAACAATTAAACTAACCACTTGATGGGGTCCGTATCACCCTGGGATCCTCAGACCTGGCAAATTTATGTCTTCAGGGCCTTTCAAGCCTATCGAGGGGGCCAATCTTATCTTCATGGGGATGATGTTCCATAGGGAGGGAGCCACCACGGAGAAGGCCCTTCTTCTTGATCCCTCCAGATGGACTTCTTTAAGAGAGGGGACCCTTAATATGTGGGCAGGGTCAAGCCAGATTTGCTTTCCACAGGTAGAAGGTGTTCACCAGACTAGCTGGGCGATGACTGGGGAAGGGTCAGGATCCCCAAATAATCGAATCATCAAAGCCTGGAATTCACTTGTGGAGGGTTTTTCAAGTTTCTTGATGGTGAGGCTGGCTTTGCTCAGTAGAATCTGTTTCTTGGAAGTCATCTTTTTTTTTTCCTTAGCGCACGACGATGCAATTTGGTCAGTTGCTTGGGGCAAAAACAGGAACGACGGCTCGGAGACCGTAATCTCAGGCTCTCTGGATGACCTGGTGAAAGTCTGGAAATGGTAAATTCCAGGAGGTTTTCTAAAAATGCTGTGTAGTTTTACAGGTGTGCAAAGCTGTCTTTAAACAAGTAAGAGAAGCATGTGCAGGTAACGTGGGGACTGGAGGCTAAAGCATATAAGGAACGGTTGCTGGAATTGGGTATGTCTAGTTTAATGAAGAGAAGGACGAGGGGGGACAGGATAGCAGTCTTCCAATATCTCAGGGGCTGCCCCAAAGAAGAAGGAGCCAAGCTATTTTCCAAGATGCCCGAAGGCAGGACAAGAAGCAACGGATGGAAACTAATCAAGGAGAGAAGCAACCTAGAACTAAGGAGAGATTTCCTGACAGTTAGAACAATTAACCAGTGGAACAACCTCCCTACAGAAGCCGTGAATGATCCAATGCTGGAAGTTTTTAAGAAGAGACTGGACAGCCATTTGTCTGAAATGGTATAGGGTTTTCTGCCTGAGCAGGGGATTGGACTAGATGACCTCCAAAGTCCCGTTCAACATCATCAACATCATCATCATCATTATTATTGATCATCGCACAGTCAGCCAGATGTTCAGACTGGATTTGGCATTTTGTCTACCTATCGAGTCCTTACCCAGGACCTGGGATAGGCAGATGTGGATGTTTGATGGTATTACAGATATCGTGCAGGATGGAAGCAGTTCCTAGTAAGGCCGCCTTTTGCAATTGACTAATAGCGAATTTGTCAATGCCAATGGTGTTCAAGTGGTGCTCCAGTTTTGGGATTGCACCCAAGGAGCCTATTACTATTGGTACTACCCTTGCTTGCTTTTGCCACAGTCTTTCTATTTCTATTTGTAGGTCTTCGTATTTTGTTATCTTCTCCAGTTCTTTCTCTTCTATTCTGCTATCTCCAGGCACTGCCACATCCACTATCCAGACTTTTTTGTCTTTCTTATCGACAATTGTTAAGTCTGGGGTGTTATGTTGCAGGTGCTTGTCTGTTTGAATTCTGAAGTCCCAGAGCAGTTTAATTTTATCATTTTCTATGACTTTCTCTATTTTATGATCCCACCAGTTTTTGCTTACAGGCAAATGATATTTTTTGCAGATCTTCCAATGCACCATTGTTGCTACTTTGTCGTCATTATTACTATTATTATTATTATTATTATTATTATTATTATTATTATTCCTCATTTAACAACCTGTCACTTAGAGATTACTGGAAGTTCTCATGGATCTGCCCAGTACGATTTATGACCTGTTTTCAAAGTTCTGATGGCCCTACACAAAGGCGCACACAAACACACCCTGAGATCACGGGATTTGCATTTGGTGTGCTTGGCAACCAGCTCTCGTTTACAGCTGTTCACAATGTCCTGCAGTCACATGACTGTGATTTTTGGTTGTTGGTTTTTTTTGCCAATTTCTGGCCAAAAGCACCCAGTGGCGAAAATGTGTTTGCTTAATGACTGTAGCATTTGCTCAGTGATTACAGTGTTTGCTTAACAACCTCTGTAAAATCAGGTGGGCTTACAGGGCGATGTGCTTAATAATGATGATGATGATGATGGTGTTGGAAGGGACCTTTGAGGTCATCTAGTCCAGGGGTAGGCAACCTTGGCTCTTTTATGATTCGTGGACTTCAACTCCCAGAATTCCTGAGCCGACATGGCTCAGCTTGGAAACCTCTCCCTTTCCCCTCAGCATGTCTGGCTCAGGAATTCTGGGAATTGAAGTCCACGAGTCATAAAAGAGCCAAGGTTGCCTACCCCTGATCTAGTCCAACCCCCTGGTCAGGCAGGAAACCCTGAAATACCATTTCGGACAAATGGCTGTCCAGTTTCTTCTTAAAAACTTCCAGTGTTGGAGCACCCACCACTTCTGGAGGCAGGATGTTCCATTGTTCTCACCGTCAGGAAATCTCTCCTTAGTTCTAGGTTGCTTCTCTAATGACTGACATGACTTAACACTATAATTCTGAGTTCAATAATGGCCGTAAGTCAATGACTACTTGTGGTGTTCCTCCAGGTTTGGGAGGAAAACGTGATTTGGGAGCTGAATATGTATCAAGAATGAAATTTTAGGAAGCCTTGCTAGATACACCACATGGAAAACTATTGATATGTGTACCACTTATTCTTTTTTAGGGGAAAAAATGCTTTCTTTTTGTTTCTCCAAGGAATGAGGAGAAGCTGGACCTCAAGTGGACTTTAGAAGGTCATCAGCTGGGTGTCGTTTCAGTGGACATTAGTCACACAGGCACAGTTGCTGCGTCCAGCTCATTAGATGCTCACATCCGCATTTGGGACTTGGACACTGGCAAACAGATCAAGTCAATAGATGCTGGGCCAGGTAATGTTCAACCCATCATTGGGAACTGAGCAAATATCATTTGATTGTGGCGTATCCATTTTAATTAGTAGATGAAAGGTTATGGCTGACTTTGTTACGACAGTGAATGTTTTAATATTTTTTTATTTATTTATAAGTAAATAACTAAAACAGTGTTTCTCAACCTTGACAATTTTAAGGCATGTGGACTTCAACTCCCAGAATTCCACAGCCAACATTGCTGGCTGTGGAGTTCTAGGAGTTAAAGTCCACATGCCTTAATATTGTCAAGGTTGAGAAACACTGAACTAAAAGGACGGTATATTCACAGTCTATGGAGATTCTCAATTACCTGGTCATGGCATTCCGAAAGACAACTGGACCGTGTCTACTTCTGAAGCTTCCTGGATGAGAAGTGAAACGTTTTCAAAGAAAAAACAAAGTCCAATTGCCTTTTGGGGAAAAAAAAGGACCTTTGGGATGTGTATTCACAGCCCACTTTGAGACAATGAACTCATAACCCAGATCCAATTAACATTAATCGTGACTAATCACACTTAGTCTGAATATAGCTTCATTAAAATAGCTGAATATAGCTTTATTAATTCTGGTATGCTTATTCAGAACATGATTTGCTCCCTTGCCAGACCTGCGTTCAAATGTTGCACAACAGAAATAAATGTACTTACTCATTACTGGATATCTCACAGTTCTGTTCTCTTCCTTTCGTGCAGTTGATGCTTGGTCGCTGGCTTTTTCTCCCGACTCCCAGTATGTGGCAACTGGAAGCCACATCGGAAAAGTCAACATATTTGGCGTTGAGACTGGAAAAAAAGAATATTCCTTGGACACTCGAGGGAAATTCATCCTAAGCATCGCCTATGTAAGATGCTTGATTTGTCTTGTAATAAGCGTGTTATAATCACTCTTATTCTGCAAGGTCATCCCAGATACTTTGCGCTGAATTATAATGGTTTCATCAGCAGCATTGAGGGAAGAGAAGGACTTTTCCAAATAAATCCGTCCTCTTTTTCCTTCATAATTGGAGCACATCAACTTAAGAGAGAGAAATAAATTGACTGCATTTTTTTTTGGTATTTGGAACCAGGGTAAAAAAACTACATCAGAATCCAGAAACATTCAAAGGGAATTATTCTGCTGACGTCACAGCAGTGATGTATTTTTTTCAACCATCAATCCAGCCCACCTAAATGGGATTTACAGATGTGTCTCTGTTAGTTCTTCCTCATTGGATGTAGCAGTGTGACCTAAATCAGGACGGATGTATTTTGCGCTTTTAATGGGTCCACAACTGATTTTTCTTTCATTGAAATCCTTCCTAAAGTCCCATGTGCTGATTAGATAGGTAGCATCCATACTTACCTTGCTACGTTGTGTGAGCCCAAGTTTAGGTATGAGTCGTTTCTCTTCTGCATTCTAGCTGGTAGGTGGATTCACAAAACATACTTAATTGGTTGTGACTTAATACCCCATTTAGGCCATTTGAACAATATGAACTGCAAATAATTCTATCTGGATTTTCAAGCTGACTAAACCCAAAATGTAACCAAGGTCAGTCACCAAATTTCATACTGTGTAAATCAGTGGTTCTCAACCTTTTTAATGCCGCGACCCCAACCGGTCGTAAGTCGAGGACTACCCAACCGGTCATAAGTCGAGGGCTTTCCCTGCCCGGGAGCGCCGCACATGCGTGGTGCCGTCCCCTGCACCGGCCGAGGCGTAGCTGGCAAGCGGCAGAGACGGCGCAGGGCGACCACCGGCTGGGCCACCAGCTGGCCCAGCCCAAGGGAGATAAGGCACCCGCTGTGCCCCACGCATGCCAGCAACCCTCCCTGCGCCCGCCGGCCTCCCACCTCCCACCCCTGGCCCTCTTTTACTTACATTTTTAGTAGTTGCTCAACAGGGAGGGGTGGAAGCTTCCAGACAGCTCGCCTTCGCTGCAGACAACTTGCAGCACCGTTTGCAGAATGGGACTTTTGGCGGGCTCAGCAGGGCAGACAGAGCCTGGACAATTCCTCTCTCTATTCAAGAGAGTCTATTCTATTGGCTTTCAAAAGCCAATAGAATAAAAGGGAGTAGCACAGCTAAAGAAAAGGGGGAAAAATGGCGGACAGCCTTGTTTGGCGACCCCCATGAAATGGTCGTTTGACCCCAAATGGGGTCCTGACCCACAGGTTGAGAACCACTGGTGTAAATGCAAAAAGGTGAAGAGGACTAGTGTGTTGTGTTAATATCTTGGCTTCTTGTGGTATAGGGGAAGAGGGCAGGGCTCAAGTGCTCGTTTCTGTTTTAGAGTCCAGATGGAAAATATCTCGCCAGCGGAGCTATCGATGGGATTATCAATATTTTTGATATTGCAACTGGGAAACTTCTCCACACGCTGGAAGGTGAGGTTTGGAACTTTTTTGGGAAGTACTTCAGCTGATTTATAGAGCAAGATGCCAATTACATTTCAAGCAGCCAAAGATAGAAAGTGATTATCGCTTGCGCTTCAGGTCACGCCATGCCTATCCGTTCCCTGACGTTTTCTCCAGACTCTCAGTTACTTGTGACTGCGTCAGATGATGGCTACATCAAGATATACGATGTGTGAGTGATGCCTTTGTTGAACCCGCTATTTACTGTTCCCTTCTCAATAAATCCTCCAACCAGCTCTATTTGCTGTTCCTCCTTTGTATTTCCACTTCCCAACTCCTGAGTTTTCTGAATCCAAGGAATTAACACTCCTGAAATGGGCATGTGTGTTAAGAAGATCTTGCAAGAAATTGCACTCCTATCTCAAAAGTCTACCTGTGGTTACAAGCTGTCATTGATAGCTTGTTAGTTTGGGCTTGTCTGTTCTTACCTCTTTTATTAGAAGGATCTTGGGGGCGTTCTGTGCAAAAGCCTGAAAATCAGTTTAAAATATTTGCTCTAACCCAGAATCTGTTTTTGAATTCACAGACAGCATGCCAACTTGGCAGGCACTCTGAGCGGCCACGGTTCTTGGGTATTAAATGTAGCCTTTTGCCCTGATGATACCCATTTTGTTTCCAGGTAAGTAGAGCAAAATATATTCTGTCCACAATTGTAACAGATATGGGGGAGGGAGGGAGGGAAGGAAGAAAGGCACAAAGATGGAGGGAGGAAGGAGTGGGAGGAGGGAAAGAAAACTATTAATAGAGGGAAGGAAGAGGGGAGGAGAAGAAAGATAAGAAAAGGAAGCATGAAAGGAAAATGGAGGGAGGAATGGGAAAGAGAAAATAAGAGGGGGAGAAGGAAGATGAGGAAAGAAATGAAGGAAGATGGAGGAAGGAATAGGAGAAAGAAAAAATAAGAGGGAAGAAGGGAAGGAAGAGATCTTTCTAAAATTGATCATTGCTAGATTTATCATCCACATCTACCAAGCAATAACTCTTATTGTACAAAAGGCAGGATAGAAACCAAATCAATACTTTCCTAAGAGCACATAATTTTATAAGCAACCGTAGCCGCACTCATTCACATACGGGAGTCCTGGAATTAAACGAGGCAACAATTCTTTTCCCAATCCTAGCTCATCAGACAAAACGGTCAAAGTTTGGGACGTGCCTTCTAGGACCTGCGTCCACACCTTCTTTGACCATCAAGACCAGGTAAGGGAGATGGAGGCTGGAGCTGCCCTTTGGGATAGCCAATCACCGGCTCCCCTCCTTTCTAACCTGCCAGGGACCTTCTCTCCCACCCACAGGTCTGGGGCGTGCAGTACAACGGGAACGGCTCAAAAATTGTCTCTGTTGGGGACGATCAAGAAATACACGTTTATGATTGTCCTGTGTAAAAAGATTTCTGCTTGCGAGAGCTATTGAGGTCGGTTGTCTGAAAAATATTTTGATACTCTTTGAAAAATCTTATAGATGGGAATCTGAAAATTATTTAGGTGGGCGTTTTGCTTTTTTTTTTTTTATTGTTTTAAAGCTAAATAAACCCCTGCTGTGGCATCAGAGCAGCAATTCAGTGTTTTCCTCCCGGCACTGTTGATTGTTTTGCAGACTTAACAATATTGCATTCCAAAGTGGTGTAAACCTCTCTACAGCATTTGCCCGTCGATGACCTCACAAAGCTAAGCAGTATCGGGCTCCGTTCCTGTGTGTGAAGGACTGCTCCAAACTTTTTGTGAGGTTCCCCACAGAAATAATCACACAATTTCCATCCAGAGTAACCATGAAGAGTTTTCACACCAAAAAAATGGTCCTGATATTTTATTTGATAAAATATCTATTAAATAATCTAAACAGTCTTGTTAAGGTGACATGGCAATGTTTCAAGTAACTACTGCTGGGGAGAATTTTTACATGCATGTTTCTCAAACACTCCGCTCTCTTGATCAGTCCTGGTTTAATCCCCAGCACGCATTCTTCGTAGCCCCAGACAGACAGAAAACCACAGGCTTGGGAGGGTTACTTTTTTAGTGTAAATGAGGGGGAAAAGCTTATTTAAATCGAACAACAGCACATTTGGGTTTCAAGTTACACAGATCCATTTCTTTTTTTACAACATGAACACATAAATATGAAATACGAACTAATATACAGCTATTTGTCGCGCCGAACTCGGCAAGCCTCGGAGCTCAGTGACGGTTCCTCAAATTCTCTGACAAGTTCATGTGCCGGGACCGCTCGGTTCACGAGGTCTGGCACTGGACCCCTGTTCTTGGGCCTTCATCGTCCTCTTCGTAGGCTTCACTGTGGTTCCGGTACGTCCGCTCCTTGGGATCAAATTCTGCCAGCTCCACTTGATCCATATCTTCGGAAACCATCACTTCCTCCCTGGGAGGGAGCAGAGCTTCTAAGAGAGGGAGCTGATCGTTGGAAAGCCAGTGATGCTCGGGGAAGGCAACCTGGGAGATGAAGAGAGAATTTGAACTCGAGTCAAGCACGTGCCTGGGATTGCCACAGGTTTGACTCCTTCGTGCAAAGCCGTAATTGGTTCGTTTCTATTGAGGGAACTGTTAAAACTGGATAGATTTGAAACAACAGGCTACGCCCCACAAACAAGCAGCCCGGAGATTCATCACGTATAAACTCCATCACCGATCATTCGAAACTAAATCTGGTAAAAAATGTGGCTTTTGTTTATGCAGTGAAGTGTTTCTATTAACAGCTATCAAAAACTGTCACGTTCCCTCACCAATTCTGAGTTCAGCAGGAATTTATAGCAGGCCCAGATAATTAAAGGCACAAAACCCAAATTTTAGTTGCTCTATCAGCTCACCTTCCACGCCGGCATTAAGTAATCATTTTTTTTTTTTTTTAAAAAGGAACCGCCTTGCTTACCAGAAACTGTATTATCAAGGAACCTTTTTCCAAGGGAGATTTATAAATCGGCATTCCTTCATTTACGATGCACTTGATGTCTCCGTGCTTGATCACTTCGCCTGTTGGAAGATAAAATGTCATGTAGTTCTACACCAGTGGTTCTCAACCTTTTTCATGCCACAACCCCCAACCGGTCGTAAGTCGAGGACTACTCAACTGCTGCAGCCCCGTTTGCAGAAGGGGACTTTTGGCAGGCTCAGCAGGGCAGAGACAGCCTGGACAATTCCTATTGGCTTTGGAAAGCCAAGAGAATTAGACTGTATTCAAGAGAGTCTATTCTATTGGCTTTCAAAAGCCAATAGAATAAAAGGGAGTAGCACAGCTAAGGAAAAGGGGGAAAAATGGCGGACTGCGTTGTTTAGTGACCCTCGTGAAATGGTCGTTCGACCCCAAATGGGGTCCCGACCCACAGGTTGAGAACCACTGTTCTACACTTACACCCACCCACCCCACACGCGAACGCACCCAAAAGGCCAAGCTTACCTGGTTTGGAGGAGATTAAAAGGACCCTGTCATCCAGCGTTTCAACAGTCTTCTTAAAGCCGCACAATGCCTCTGTCAGCTGGATTTTCATTTTCATAACTAAGTCGTTGCCTCTCCTCTGAAACACGGAGTGGTCTTTTTGATCGAGTACGATAATGACATCTCCCGGTTCCAGGTCAGGTTCTTGATCACCTTCTCCATGAAATACTAGCTTCTGGCCATCTTTCATACCTAGAAAACAGAGTGGGGGGGGGGGAGAGAAAAGCCTTGATCACAGCAAGATATTTCTATGGGAAATGATCTTCCAATGATCAGGAATTTTTATGCAATTGCAATTCAGCACACCTTCAAACTTTTATTCATGTATTTATCTCTGTGTACATGTTCTAATCCTAAAATTAATTTCAGAAACTCTGATTGAACAGGAAATGAGAGTTCATGGCTTGGCTTATGCTGAAATTATTATGAGCAACCAAAATTTAGTTCCAAAGAACGTTAAGGACAGCCTTTCACCACAGAGGTGCGGTTTTACCACTTAAAAAGGTGATTTCTCACCGAACAACAGTGCTAAAATGAGGCCCTGTCTCCTGGGTTTCAAAGTCCTGCTACTTAGGGTGACCAAGATTTAGCCTCTGAGGTTCACAAGAATAACTGAGCTGCATAGCCGTCTCCCACGCCCTCTCATCCATTTCCAACTTTTACCTTTATCAATGTGGATCTCGATGATTTTTTTCTCCCTGACCACCTTGTTGCCATTGCAGTTGGTACACCTGTCCTTGGGATTTATCCGTTCTCCTTGGCCTTTGCAGTCTGGACACACGGTCTGAATCTGCTGGACCATGCCGGGTCCGATCTGCTGGACCAGCACCTGCACACCTCGCCCTTTGCAGGTGGGACATTTTTCTACAGCCCCTTTTTTCCCACCGTAACCTTGGAAGAAGAAACACACACACACATACAAATGAATAACACACAAACCACACATACACAAAATAAGTTTTGGTTCAACTCTCCAAACTGAACACTAATCTCAGCAACGTGCTGAGTTCCCAGGAGACTGTGAGAACAGGATTAAGATTGCGTTATACCTGTCATTCAATGGAGTGAATTGTACTCCACCTGTCTGCATTTCAGTCTATACAGTTATCTTTTTAAATAAAACAAACAATATTTTTATGCGTTCTCCCCCCCCTCCAAAATCATGTAATTTGACCTATCAAATTTATTTCGGTAGGACACTCAACCAAACTATTAAGCAAAACTTATCTTTCTCATATTTGCAAATGGTTCTGAAAAGCTGGGTGGGAATCCTCTCATTAACAGTATGAAATTTCACAAACCAGGGCAGCTCACGTGAACACTATATTCCAGTTTCTTAACAGATTTATTTTTGTTAATGCTTCTTTTTAATGGCAACATTCTGTTACTAGTCTAGCTTTCCAACGGCCTCTGAAAAAGCCGGATTGAAGAAGAGGAAAAATAAATACCCCAGCAGATTTTATTCGGGATATTAGTTCAGGGCAATCTCTGTGAGATGAATCTAACACAAATATAGACTGGTGACCTATTCCTGTGGTTGGATTAAAGATTTTTGGTGAGTCACCATTTCCACAAAATCTGCTTTACTTCAAAGACAGCTGGTGTCTTAAAATACATTGTATGAAATGATCAACATTTTCGGTCAAGAAGGCAAGAGCAGTTTCTAAAATTCCCGAGACGAGTCCAACTTTTGTACTCCGTTCCTGCAGTTATCTAATCGAGAAATTATTACCTTTGCACTTGTCACAGATAACATTCTTCTGAAGTGCTAGTTTTCTTGTGGCTCCCATGTACAAATCTTCCAGTGTGATACTCAACTGATGGACAACATTTTTACCTGATTAAAACATAAGTGCAAACGGTTAACAATATCCAAGGTGCCTTTCGAGTTTTTCAGCAGAGCTACTGGCAGACCTAACGAGGCAGCTCCCACCCTTTGTAGAAAAGTTGGAAAATTAGAACTATTGCCCCACGGCTAACATTGAAATAAAATTTACCTCCCAAATTAATTGTTTTCCAAAAAGAGTGCCTTTGCTTGTCTCTCAGTCAACCTTCTCAAGCAGGATTTAAACTGCAAAACTCATGTCCTCCTCCCCTACACAAATTCCTAGGGGAGCTCACTAACTCTGAAAATGTCCAGAATTTTCAAGTATTCAGACAGAAAACCAAACTGCTACGAATTTATTATAGCAGAGGTCTGGGAGTTGAAGTCTGCAAGTTGTAAAGTTGCCAAGGTTGGAGATCCCTGTATTAACAGTATTCAGCTTTGCAATTCTCTCCCCCTGCCACCCACAAACTACTTGACTCTGAATAAGTCACCTGTAAAAAATTACTCTTTTCTCCCTGATCATTGACGAAGAAGGCATTAGAAGCACTTGACCTCTCCAGTTTCCCTCAGATGCTTGAACTGAGGCCAGGCAATGAAGACCCTCAAGCCCCTACCTCTTCTTTCTCGATTCATCCGGCCTCCTCCTCCAAAGAACATGTCGAAGATGTCCATGGGGGAAGAGAAATTGCCACCGCTTAAGCCCCCTTCTTTAATGGCTTGCTCGCCACCCTGATCATAGAGATCTCTCTTCTTTGGATCCGACAGGACCTCGTAAGCCTGGGAAATGAGCTTAAACTAAGGAGAGAAAGAGACCCTCTGAATTAATTGGCTGGCACATAGGGGAAAAATAAATAAATGCCTAAACCTCTATACACGAGAATAGCACACCAGCCACATTTCAGATTTTTAAAAAGGTATAGATCTTAGATCAGCAGTCATACGTTCACTGGAATGTTTCCTAAAGTGCCTATTTGTGGTGCTCAGAGTCCTGGCTACGCATGCTGAAAACTCAGAGTTAATACTCCAGTTTTCAGATGGAGAATATATAGAGTGGTAGTGTCAATCTCAAAACAGGCCTACTGGTTTAAACATCAAGGGAACCTTGTTTGCACCCCCTCTAAAATGTTAAACAACAGTTCCAAGCCAGAATTGTCTTTTAACATTTTAGAGAGGGTGCCTTCTGCCCAGTTTCAGGTGGTCCAGAGTGCGGGTTCCTCATCTTTAAAGTGAATGCTCTTATTTATTTGGAAGTCACCATAAAAATAAAAAGATGGGTAACAGATTCTGGAGCTGATGCCGACAGATCTTTCCCTGTCCACCTTCACTCAAGTCCATATGTGTACACAGTTGTGTGTTTGTGTCTGCAGAGACAACACAGGTGATTTAGAGGCACAGTACTTCCATCCAGTGCAAACTTTGAGTGGACAATAACTGACCAAGGAACCAGCTCATCTTTCTTTTATTTTCTCCGTTTACTTATGCAGCACAAAATGAAACTCTGGCCTCCTGTTCTGTTCCTCAACTTTAAAGCCAACGGTGTTAACAGGTTTGGGGCCCTTCCCAGCAGTTTC